TAATCATGTTCTTATGTAGGGCCCCAATTTTTGAATTTTACCACAATTCATATAACTTACTTCTATCAATTCTCCTATAATTTTTATTTAAAATCCTCTTATAAATATTTGTCTATTTTTTATTTTTTTAATATACTCATATGAAAAATTATTTGATTTTAAAAGAAAATGAATTAAGTAATTTTTCAGATCACATAGTTCTATACTTAGACAAAAAATCAGCATATCAGTTCTTCATGTCTACTTATTTTTTCATTTTAAGTTGAACAAGTTTTCTACAAGACCTCCATTCTAGGTTTTCACCTCTATTTGTTTACAAGACTAACATTTTCTAATACTAGTACTAAATGCCATAGAAAATATAAAATTAATACAATGGTATACAATAAAATTATATATATATATATATATATATATAATTTATTTATTTAATCATAATTATTAAAATCTAAAAACACTAGTAACATTTTAAATTAAATTTGAGATTTTGTTTTTGAATCATTGATTTTCTTTATTATTTTTATTTTTTAAGTTAATATCATTGGTCTTAATATATGTTTGAGAAAGCAATCTTAAATCTATTAGATTTGAAGAATAAATTCTTAAAAAAATGATCATAAAATTTGCTTGAGATAAATTAATACAAAATTCAGAATAAGAGTTTAAAACTTTCTTTGATATAAGTCTGACTATGCTAGTTAGTTTTTCTATCTTACAATATATCATTTTAATATTTTCATAATTTAACTTAACTATATTCTTTATCAAACTAAAAAATAATTACTATCAATGAAGTACTAAAATTTTAAAAAATCGGTAACAAAATCGGAACGTTTATTGATTTTGAAATGATAATAATAATGTTATTATTATTAGTATTAAACAGCAACAATAATATGATAGAAGGAAAAGAAGAAACAAATTGGGTTTCAAAATGAAGAAGACTCTGTTGCCCCTTGCAAAAGCATTGTGTTCGTCACAAAGGTTTATTCACGTGGCAGAGCCATCAGTTCAGAAAATGCACATGAGTGTCTGCTGGCTTCAAATGAACTCTCCGTAGTTGAGGACCATCTCAACGTTGTTGTAAACGATTTCATGATGGTTGGCGTTTGTGTCGAAGAAGGCATCCTTCAAACACAGGCACTGACAAGTGAAGGGCTTCCATTAATCAGACTGATCTTTTGTATGCGACAAAAGTCCCCAGCTTCGAGAACACAACAGAACAGACACTGCCACACACATGCTGCAATTTCACAAACAAGAGATTCAATGTGGTTTACAAACATCGAATACTCATTTTGTGTTTTTTTTTTTTTTTTTTTTTTTTTTTTATATATATATATATTTTTAGTCAGGGTGAGGCGACCTGAACAATGGTTACCCAGGTGGCTGTGGCTTGAGACCATCGCCTACAATAGCTGGAAATTCTTGTCTTATTTTCGCTGTGACTGTTTGAGGCGAGTTGTCTTGGAGAAGTTAATTGCACTGTCGGTGCCATATTGGCCAGTCTGGAAGTGAAGGTGAAATTGCTCTGTAGCATGACACAAAATGAATTTGCTGTAATCGAAGTAAAGCTGGCTTCAGAGTTTACTGAATGCTTTCTCTGTGTGAGTGCATTGAGTACCATGCCCTCTAGCTTTTCGCGAAGCACCCATGTGACAATCAGGGCAGGGAAAGCAACAGATTGAATGGCACTCGTGCAGTGATCATCATTATCTTGAAGGATCTTGAGAGCTCCACCGACTCCGGGTCCAACACCATGATTGTGGGGCGGGGTCATCAACTCGACAAGAAGTCGGATAGCTGCTTTTTCACGAACGTACATTGGCACCCCTTTTGAATCGACTTCACCTGAGAGTAGATGATGGTTATATCACACCCACTTTAATTCACTGCCTAGACTAATTCTGGCTCTTGTTTTTGAAATCATATTGCAATAATACAAAGTGTGTGTGTGTGTGTGTGTTTTTTTTTTTTTTTTTTTTTTTTTTTTTGTTGTTGTTGTTGTTGTAAATCTCATATCTGGCGGATCCGCTGTTGACCACTTTAATCAAGCGTTGATGCAGTTCGGGATGTACATTGCGACCTGCAGTGGGGCGGAGAAGTAAACGAGAAGAATGAACTGCAGCGGTAAGTGTTTGGCACCGACTTTAAGGAACAGCATTCCGGTAGACGCCGACCACACCGATAAAGTATGCGGTCCGGTGAGACGACGGACCGATTAACGTGCCCTTGCGACGGACTACACACTACCGGGTCAGGGCTGTAGGTTTGAATTAGTCCCGAGGGACGATGAGATTTTAGATAATCGCAAAGTTGTCAGTGTTACCCACACAATTTGAGGGGCACCGTGGTGATACCCAAGTTATCCAATGTTGAGATTTTGGTTTCGAAAGGTGCATGTGTCTGTTTCTTGGACACTGTAACTTCCGGATTATTTTTCTGCCCTCGAAAACCCTATTCCCTGAGGTACGTCAGTCTTTCACATTCAGGATCAAGTGGGTATCCAAGAGTACAGCAGTGACCTCGAAGTCACCGTCCTCCACCTACAAACGCAGACTTAGAGATGGAACAGTATTCTATCAGATACTGCTTCTGGATGGCCGGCACAAATGCCTCAACAATGTTATGTGGTTGCTACAGTGCTTTCCAAAATCGATTCAATCCAAGGACTGCAAGAATACAGGCATGGCCGTATATTTCTAATTATAACAGAATGGCTCTCGAAAGAGCGATAGTATCGTATCCTACGTGGGCTTCTTCCTGGTTACAGCGCTGGCGTTGAAACCAGCACCTCATAGTCTAAGTATGCAACGGAACCTACCGAACTGCATCGAAATTGTAGATAGAAAGATTCTTCCTTGAAGACGCCTCTTCTGGTCCCGAAGGTGAACGACCTCAGCCGCGTCCACACAAACAGTCACTTAGTTTAGAGAAACCTAATCACACTGACTAGGATTTAATTATGCGTCTCCGTACGAACATCTTCCCAGTGAATCTGTGCCGAGGACTTCCGACGAACACAGTCTAGTAGGATAACAAAAGAAATCCAAGTTGAGAGGAACTGTGTGAAAGGACCGAATTATATGCTGTGCGAATGCCATTACTTCATCCATGCAACACTAGCAATACGTGAATTCAAAGTTGCGGCTATAGCCGAAAGGAATTGAACACTGCATCATCCATAAGTTCTAATGGTTTGTATAAGGAGGCCACAGGGCAAATGTTGGCCAGGGAGCTTGGCATCGGGAGGGGGGGGGGGGGGGCATTCAGTTGAGCAACATGAGGATGGCAGTCGAGACTGGAAAAAAGGGCGACGGCCACCCTTTGAAGGGGCTGCCCTACCCGGGGTCACAAAATCCTGACCTCGAGCGTTAAGCGTACATATGAGCACAGATCAGTTCAGAGTGTGCTAATCCAAGCTAGACATCCGATAAAGAGGCCAGGATTCCAGGCCTGCCTTGGGCTGCCACCTCCTTTTTCTTCTCTCTTTCTCTCTCTCTCTCTACCCTTTCCTTTCCTTTTCTGTGCTGTATTAACGAATGGGTTGGAATCTGGAAGGCTGCGCTAGCCCTGCTGCCCAGCGGTGCCAGGCGTTGGACATCACCGGGCACCGACACCATCACCTTGTAAGGGTGAAAATGCAAGCGCCCACCCATCGGACCCGTCTGACCCCCCCCCCCCCCCACCAACCCCCACATCCTCGAATTAATCAATCCCACCATGGGTGCCGTTGCAGCGCCCTCCTCCCCCCTCCCCCAACACCCAATCCCTGCACTCCCAATCCTCCAATCATCTCCCAATTCTGCAAATGCACCCTCCAAACTAGACACTGGTACAACAGAAAGAGAGTGAATGATGTATCACATGAATGGGAGCACTCGATTCAATCTTTCATGTTCTCAAATGGGACTAAAATGTTTCAAGACCATAAACCAAATAAACATAAAATATAAATATAAAATATAAAAAGGAGCAAACTAGTAGTCATTTCCATGGATTTTAATGGTGGTTCAAAAACGATTTTGCAAAAAAGAAATTTTTATTACTAAAAGAACAGATGAATTATTTGAATTACAATTTCATTGCTTAAAGTGAAATTTTACTTGCACAATCTTACTACAATTAAAACCTATTATTTAGAATGAAATTTAAGCACTCCAACAAAATATATATATATATATTTATTCATATGATCACTATGGCAAATTTTAGTAAATCAATAATAATACTTATTATTATAATTTCCAATCTGAATGTTAGAAAATCAAAATGCAATGTTAATAGGATATAATATTTTTTTTTAGTATCTTTTTGCTAAAAGTCCCTTTAAAATTTATTTCGAAATTGAAATATTTTACAATTTTGTAAGTACAGTCAAAAGTGCAGTGTGTGTTGTAAGAGTTTCGAGTAAAAATAGAAAAAAATAAAAGAATTATATATATTTATTAATGCCATTCTTTGAAAATGGGTGTTGTGGAGATAAAGTTTCTAAGCATGGGACAAAAATTCTCTTTTAATTTTTGTAAAGCAGATAATCTATGATACAAATAAAGTTAATACAAGAACACGCATTGTGTCGACTAGTGAGTCCATTTGTTTGATTGTTTGTTTGGTTGTGTGTTTGTTTGTATGTGATGGGGATGTGTGCCACAGTTTTAGCACCACCAGGGCAGGAGGAGGGGGGCAAGGGAAGGGAGTACCGGAGGCAGGCTTTGGTGGGGAAGGGGTTAGAGGCTCGTCCACCATGACAAAGTTTGGTCGGAGCGCAGGGTCAGTGTACAAACAGAGGAACCCCTCCCCTTCCCCAAGAACAAAGGACATTTTACTAGGGAAAGGAAAAAGCCATAGCAGTAATAAAAGAGGCTACGGCGTCGCTGCAGGGGCAACAGAACAGGGTCCTCCACAGAATCCAGCTGCGGATGCAGCGTGGACGCCTCCGCTCCATCGCCGGTCGCAGGGCCAGGCCGGGGGCTGGGTAAACACTGTCGTCGCAGTAAAAACATCACCACCGCTGTCTAGCTCCCTGTGGATCTGTCTGTGCTATGTCAACGACTTGCTTTGTGTCTGATCTGCCCTGCCTTGGGTACGTCAGTGATCTTCTGCAGCTCGAGGTACCCTCTTCAGATCGCGTATTCGCTCGAGGAGTATCTTCTGGTCGGTTCCATGAGTAGACTTCGCATTGCAGCGATCCTCAGGCGTTTGTGGGGTTTCTGTTTATTGTACCACCGATTCGTCACTGAAGCCGCTTCCAAGCCACTGACGTATCTGAGTTTGTATGATCTCCGTCTTCGCCGTGTTGAGTTGCCAGCACCTGCAGCGTGATCCTGCTGGTGAGGGTTCACATGTACGGGACTGTCACAAACGCGTGATCCCTTGATTGGAGTGGACTGTTTAGCGAGATTGCAGCGGGGAAGAGCATATCGAATGCAGTAGCACACTTACGTAAAAGCAGTACTATTCTATTAGTTTGTCAAATTGACAATGGAGTTTGTGCCCTTCGGCATCTTGTGCAGGCAACTGTTCTGGCTTCCCGCATGCCACCTTTCCCTTCCTACCTTGCAGGGTTTCATAGAATTTCTTCGAACTCTAAGTTCATGCTTGAGCTCTGCATACATGGTCTAGATCGAAGCTGTCTCAAGAGAATATGCGACGAGTATGGACTAGTGGCCTGAAGTCGTAGAGCTCAACTCGCACTGTAAATCGATCCTTCACATCTTTGAAACTTTTGCCTCACCTCTAGCGCACGCATTGAACATCGATTCTTTGTGTAAGTATGTGGTTGCCACCGCAACTGGAACCTTTGCGCGCATCACAGTGGAAAGATTGAATTCGTGGGTCGGTTTACTGACGTGTTTGATTGTATGATGCAGATTGAGGACTTCCATGTCGGCCTGAACGAGGCATTGGCAATACAAGTGTAGCGCAAGGTGAGACGCCGCTAGCCATTTCATCGACTCCACAATCTTTCTCGTGGTGGCGGAGATGGCTATTAGCAGTACGGGATACTATAGCGGCCAGAATGAAATGTTCATGCGGGACGAAAGCACCTCTAATTCCTTGGCAGCAATGCTCAGCCCCTGCCTTCCTCAAGTGGATCTTCAAGGTTTATGTCCAATCCAACCTAGTCCGCAATTGAGCTCAGAAACCCAGCAGACTAGGATGTCTCTACCAAATGTGAAATTTGTAGTTGACTGCCGCCTCATAGGCCGGATGGACTGCCGTGAATATTGATTTGTGTGTTGGTTGTCACAGCACGACGATATGGTGGAGGAAATTTGGAAGATGATGGTCGTGTGCAAGGAGTCGGACAGAAGCGCCCTTCCTTTGCTACCAACGACAGCACAACTGTGGAGGATGGAGCGGAAGATGGAGACGAAGGCACAGCAAGTGCATCGCACCTGGAGAAGAAGCGGAGGCTGACATTAGACCAAGTAAGGTCGCTCGAGAGGAATTTCGAGGTGGAGAATAAGCTCGAACCAGATCGGAAAATGCAACTGGCCAAGGAGCTGGGCATGCGACCTCGACAAGTGGCTGTCTGGTTTCAGAATCGACGCGCGCGTTGGAAGACGAAACAATTGGAGCGCGATTACGAAACGCTGGAGGCTGGCTTTAAGAGGCTCAAGGCGGATTACGAGTTAGTGCTGGACGAGAAGAACTACTTAAAGGCGGAGGTGATGGTCAAAGTCCATTGTAGACCTTGATTGTCATATTTCTTGTTTGTTTGGTTTGATGCCACTGTAAGTTTTCGGCACCCCGGATAGTGCTCATTGGTGTTTTTGGTTTTCTCTCTAGCAGCTTCAACGGCTGTCTGGAGACACTCTAGGGTACAAACAAGGCGATGATAACCAAGGTGCGGAATCCTCGAAAATTCCCGAGAGAGATCTAGATGTGTCGATTTCCGTTGCAAGGCAGCACAATGCTAGAGCGTCTCCGACCGTCGATACCTCTTTGGCGAAGGAGGAAACGAGGGGCAGCACCGACGGGAGTTCTAGCGACATTGTAGACGCGGACAGTCCCCGAAGTACAGACAGCAGCCGAATATCAGCGATTCAGAGCCACGACTTCCCGCCCGAAAGTTTCATGGTCCACCCTGAGTTGCTCCAGATCTACTCCGAAGAGACACTGCACCCAGATAGTGCTGTGAAACTGGAGGATGGGTTCCACGAAGACCAGTCCTGCAACTATCTTTTGCTCCATCTGGACCATCAAAGCGGCGTACTTCCATGGTGGGACTGAGCACGAATCAGTGTCCACGAGTTCATGTACATACACATCAACAAGATCCTGGCTGAGATTCTCATGATCTCAATCTTCGTTAAGCAACATCCCAACTCTATAGCAAGTCCTTAAACCCGTTCAACAGGATCAATATTCGACGTTCATAACCTACGTCGCAATTGTTCAGAGTGGGTAGCATCATGAAGTCTGGGCTTGCGACAGTTGTTTTGATCAAATCTCTCTCTCTCCCGCGCGCTCGCTCTCTCGTTTCCACGACGAGATCCAACTGAGTTGCACACAGCAGTAGAAGCGGCAGAGTACCATCCTGGGATCTTGAGGCCATTGTGCGTGAAGCGGCTTGGCTTCAAGGCAGAGATCGAAATCATCCTCCATGCTGACAACTTCAAGACGATCTCGGTGTCAGTGGAACGCCAGGACTTGTGGTGGGATTGGCGATGGTGGGACTGAGCAGTGGGGCTGAGTTACAATCCGATGAGCGAATTGGCAAGCAGAACAAAACAAAGCCAAAACCAAAATAAGAGGCGAAGTTGAGGATACATCGTCTAGATATGTCCCCATTGTCTGTGTTATTATTATTATTACTATATTCCTTATTTTTTGCATGATTTTGTTTGTGTTGTGGGGGGTGGATGGCTTCGGAACCCTTTTCTTACATACTTGCCACGTCGGCCATGCTCCGTTCCCTTCGATGCCACATGTACCATGATCCCCGTACATACTTATACGCACACATGTATACATATGTACGTACATATACGGTGTGCAAAGCTGTAGTTGCTTCCAGAATGTTCCCCACTTTGACAAATAGATGGACTGACTCTTCCACTGTTCTTCTGGGGCTGTTCTTGTGAAACTTACATACTTAGCATTCTTGGATATCAGATCTCTCATCTCAACATTTACTGCCTTGTCCATTCAAACAGTTCACATTCGTTGAGGATTCATGTTTTTTTGCATGCACACTTGTTCTTGTATTGTTTGTGCACATTCATTCTTAGAAGTGCAAGATTGCATTTTTAATTTTTTTTTTTTTTTTTAACTTTTTGGTTTTTAGAAAATTAAATTCTGACATAGTTTTAGAGGTGAAAAAAAACCCTCACAATTTTTTTATGAATTTAAAATGTTTGTGTGAACTTCATAGAATTGTGATTTGATATATATATATATATATATGCGTATATCTATATATCTTAAGGTTATGACAAAACAATCTACTTCATTAAAATTGTATAAATATCAAAATATCAAAAGAAGGGAGGTCAAATATCAAAAACTATGTCGTTTGCCTCAACTCTCTTTTTTCTTTGATTCCATACTACACCACCTAACACCATGCCTTGGCGCTCCAAAAAATAGCAAACCCTTTGAAATATAGAAATGTTGACCACTTTTGCAATTGACGAGGAATTTGAAGAATTATTTGAAGAACATTGCTCTCAAATTGATAACAAGAAAACTTCTTTGAGTTTGAGAATAACGAAGAACTTGCAATGGTTTACAATACAATTAACAATTCTTATTTCATATTCGCTTAAAATCCTATATCTAAATTGCATAATTTCATTTTGAATTCTTTTATGAATGAGCTTGATATCAAGTTTTGTTAAACAGCAAGAACATCACAAGAGGACTTTCAGATAGTTCTTTCATCTATCAAAGACCATCTTATTTTTAAAAACGAGAGCCATTGACCACAAATCAATATTGCTTAGCAATTGGATTTAGTACTAGAATGTCTTGGGTCAAATGAGAATGGAACCAAAGTCAGAAGATTAAGAAGGATCTTGTATATTGGCAATAGCACCATTGTCATATTATAATTTTTTATAATATGTAAAAATTAATTAAAATATATAATATATTAATAAGTGTTGAAGTACTTTAGACTGGTTAGTAGGTTAATTTAAAAAGAATTGATGTAAGAAAATTTATTTTAAGATTTATCTAAGTTGATTATAATATTTAAAATATATAGGATATAGATATCTAATATAAAAATTAAAGAAAATATTGGGACTCAAAGATGAAGATCCAAAGCTCTAAGAAGCTTGTTTGGAAGGATGAAGGTAAGGTATGGATGGATGAAGGCTAAAAGTAAAGATCTTTATCCTTATTAGTTAAAGGCTATGCCCAATGGGCATTCAATAGGCTATTTGTGACCATAATAAGGATTTCGGCAACTTTAGAAGAGATATTTGAGAATCAAAAGCAAGGGTTATAAGATTTAGGATTTGGGCTACAATTTGTACACAAATTTTAGATAATTTGGAATTAGGGTGATGAAGTTATAGCCGCTTGAAGTTAAGGTATCTTTTTAAAATATATTTTTTCGATTTTTAGGATAAAAAGAGTTTTATGATAGATTTTGGAGATCAAGAGGTGCAACCACAAGAGTGATTTTAAGATATACATCTCTTGTGAAAGAATTTCTACATTTGAAGTTTTTATGGAGACATTATAGAGCGTTGAAGATAGCATATGTAATTCAAAGGCAATATGAGAGTTGTTTTATTGATAGTAATGGTTGGAGCCATATCTTAATTTTTTTAGTGAATTTTTGGCTCAAAATTTCTAAAAATGTGTATTATTAGGTTAAAAAGCTATATATTAAAATTTTATGGTGTTTGAATACTTATTTTGTGAGATATGAAGAAATTTGCACATGGGTGTATATAAGCAAGGGTTTGAAGCTACTACTAGGATTTTGGCAATATCTCAAGATCTGTAATAAATTTATAATTGAAATTTGTTGTAGTAGTTTTTAAAAGTAAATTAGTACTTTATGTAAAATTTGGATTTGTTTAGACAATCCAATCATGAGATATGAGCTATTGAAGTTTGGAAAAAATTCACCCTAAGGATATACAAGGTTTTATAATATTTTTATCATATTTTTGGTGATCTTTCATATTTAGGAGTTATGTATTAATGTAATTACCTTTATAGGAATAATTTTATATATAAAATTGGTATTTTTTTTTAATCTTGAGGCTTAGTTGAGCAATTAATGATAGCCAAAAGTCTAGCACTTTTTTAAGGCAAATTCTTTCTACCTAGATAATGTGAGCCTCTTTACAAACTCAGTGATTTAGGTCATTTTGTCATTGCAATGATATTATTTGTAGTAGCTAGATATTACCCAAAGCCTTAAAATTAGCCATTTTTTTAACCTACTTAGCTTCAAACATTACACTAGACTTGTTGACAAGACACAATTTTCTCTAAGCTAACATCCTAAGAATGACAAAGATACATTCTTTGACAAGAAGAAGAGATACTTCATAAATAATCATATTATGTATGACATTGACCACTATATCATTGGTCTAATTATTGATTGGTTTGGATCTTGTCCATATGCAACAATGTTTAAGAAGATGGAAATATTCAAAAATTTCAAAAAATATTTTGATTCTAGGTAGTACTTGTTAGCAAACTTGGCCTATGATGTAAGCCAAATAGTTATTTTTGGCTACAAGTATCTAACCATAAAACAATTGATCAAATGAATACTATATATAAAAAAAATAAGATTAGGCAAAAGCCATCAGAGAATTTTGTTACCGCATCAAGATAGGCAATTCTCTTTAGAAAAATTATTTGAAACAAAGTTGTGGCATACAATTATGCATTGGATGTTTTACTAATGTATGATTTAGACTAAAAGATTGCAACTAGATTTGCTATAACATTTTCAACCATTAAGATTTAGTTTGTCTAAACATGATATTCTTTGTATAATGTACAAGTAAAAATAAAAATAATAATTTTACATCTTGTTGCAACTTTTTTTTTCTTTGTATTGTTGTAAAATGCATTATTGAACTACGGTCTCCAAAACCTTAGATTCAAGGCTTCCAAAATTATATAAAAAAAATTAATTTATAAATTAAAATATAAAATAATATAAAATTAGCAAGGAAAGCTCAGCTCTTCTTATACAGCTATTATGTCTTATGTAGCATACATATCTATATTATTGAGTAAGAATCTCTATACTAATATTCTATATTTGATTTATTTAATATATAAAAGAATATGAGGTAAGTACTATAAAAAAGTGATTTATTATATATGATTTTGATATGGGAGAAGTGTCATGGATGGGACCAAATGGAAAGTGTTGTGAGGTGTCATTTACATGAGGTGTTTAGGAAATTTTATTAACATCTCTCCTTCCTCTTTTCTTCATTGTATTATAAATGATATTACATTGATTACTAAAAATGGAAGTTGTAGAGCACCTTAGAGGATTTGTCAAGGATTTATCAATAATGAGATATTATTCTTAATTTTATTTATTTAATTTAATTATAATAGTAACTATCTAATTTATCATTGACTTTTGGTATAGGTGGACTTAATTTTAATAATCTTGCGGCTTCTATTTGTTATAATTTCTTGAATTCGTAACACATTGTCTCTAAGTATTTTCTCCTATATTATGGATTCTAAAGGCATTGTGATCCATTCACAAAGAGCAAGAGCAATAAAAAAATACAAGATATTGTAATGAAATATGAATACAATCACCAACCTTCAATTGAAGCAACTATATCATGGAGACGTGTTCCATTGTCTTTGATCAAAGTGAATTCTTCATGGGACCAAGTTACTTTGTCATTGGTCAAGGTGTTTATATTATAAGAGGATTCAAGGAATAGTAATACTTCTTCACAACAAGATTTGCAACTTTTATCAATAACTTTATCTTATGGAGGATCAATGAGGTTTTACAAAGTTTGTCAAGATTAGATTCCAAGCATTTATTTATCTTGGTCAAATTGTATTCTTCAAGTATTCAGCTTTAGCAAAATAGAATACCAATTTTTCAAGACTCACCAAATGACAAAGGGCATAGTCTCTTTTTGAATCAAATAAGTTAGTTTTGTAATTGAATCATATGGATTTTATTTTATTTTTTTCTAAATTTTGAGTTCTATGCAAGAAAGGCTTTAAGATTGATAATTTTTTAAGATTAACAATTTTATAAGAAATGCATTGTATCATTCTTGGAATTTTATAAGATATACATCCCCATGATATAGTTGTCAAATAGGTTTGTAATATAAATGTATATATATATATATATATATATATATATACATGTGAAAAATACACAAATGACAGAACTAATTAAGTAAGTGAATGTATTAGAATGTATTAGAATGTACTAACTGGACGGTAAAAAAATAAATATCAAATGCTTTGGTATCTAAGTATTGTTGTCTTTGTAATGAGAAAAATGTAGTTCTTTTGACAGTGAAGATGAAATCTGACATTGGAAAAGTCTTCTTATGTTGAAAATGTATCAAAATTTAATCTAAACAAATAATTCTAAGTTTACCAAATTTTGATTACAATAAAAAAGTAACTAATTCATCATGTACATCTTCTTCCAATGAAGGTTGATATATTTTTTTTAATTTAGGACATTAGCCATGAAATCATCAAAAGTTATATCATGTATTAAGAGAATAGGAGAACATTTTTTAAACTTGTGGTTACAAGACGGCAATTTTGAGACATTAGAAAGTAGTTTTAAATGCAAAGCTGCCCTTCTTGAGAACCTCTTTTCACATTCACATTCACATTCACAATTATTTGTGTCTTATATTAAGTCTAATATAAGACATATAGAACAAGTTGTGTCCGACATTGCACAATGTAGGACAAAGTTCCCACAGTCCTACATTAGAAGGGCTTGATCATGTATGTGAATGTAGTAAAAGCATTTTTGAATGCAAATAACACAATGAAGTAATAAAAAACTTCAAACTGCAGAAGGAAAAATTTATCATGTATTTAACTTATTTTTAAAATTTCCATTAAAAGAATCAAACTTGTTAAGAAAATCTTGAGTACTATATATATGTATATATTCATGTATATTTATACATACATACATACATACATACATAGTTTGCTTAGATATATGGGTATAAACTGATTAATGTTTATTCTTGAAAGTAGTATACATGCTTTAATTGATGGAATTTCCTGTTCGTGCCATAATATAAAAACAGTTCTGATATTGAAGTTGAATATTTAACTGTACTTGATTGATAAATATTCTAAACTAAAATCATTTAAGATGATCAGTTTTTAGTTTTTCAATAAATCATATAAGACCTAATTACTTTCAACAGTTAAGATTTTTGACAACAGTATAGATTTTCAAGGTACAACTACCACCGACCTTTTAGAATGATGATTAAATTAATTTCTTGTTGTAGTGATGAATAAAGTTAGTGTGTTGCAAACACTAATTTTCTTTTGATTTGTGCAATTCTTATTTTGTGTCATCTTCTATTTTTACTATTAAAGCCAAAATTAGCACAATATGAAAACCTTAGGAAAGATTTAAACATGTTCAGAGTGTTTTTTAGCAAATGATCTACACAAACCACATTGATTTTTTAAAAACAAGTAATTCTCATGGTTAAAATGTTTAGATGCTCTCTGTGTATAGAATATTTCTTCTTACAGCACTCATATCTGATTATCAGAGATCAAATAGATAAAAAAAAAATTAAAAAATTAAAAAAACCCATTCACAACGTAACAACAATAAAGTTGAAAGACAATATAAAATAAAGTATACAATATTACAACTCTTGTAAAATACAAAAAAAAAAGAAAAAGAAAAAGAAAAAGAAAAGAATAATTTATTGAATTAGATTAATGCAAATAATTAAAAAAGCATATGCATAAACATTTTTCAAGAATATCATTAGCTTGATTAACTTCAAAATAGAAATTTGACATATTTTTTGTTTTTGAATTTATTTTTCTAAAATAAAATATAAAATAAAATATACCAATCAATCGAATTCTTCAAAATTCAACAACCATTTGAACATTTTAAATATTTTTAGGAATTATTTTTATAATAACTAAAGTAATCATGTCATCTTAGAAGTAAAAAAAGTAGTGCTGTTAGCAGATTAAATAAGAAATTAGGAGGTAAAACAGAATTTAAAATTAATCATAATAAATAAATTTTATATACACAACCACTAAATGTTTTATTTTGTTTTTATTAAATAAGAAATTTTCAAATAGAACCAAAACTGCCTGTTTGATGGTGATTCACAAACAGTGATCAATACAAAATAATTCTCCGTTCAAAATTGAAGTTTTATTGTTATCTAAAATACCAAACTCATTCCAACACCTAATTCTAGCATCACCTTTTTTAAAGCTACAAAAAGGCTTCAAAAATATTTCTTTTCTTAGTTAGTTAAAATCAAAAATATCATCTCACAATAGCCTCTAAAAATAATTATAATTTAATAGGCGATGCCAATAATATGTAATAAGAAAAAAAAAAAAGAAAAGAAAAAAAAAACGGCACACTATGGTGATTGCAATTGGAGGTCTCCATCAAATTCTTTCCTTGGGCATGTGTAAATGTGGGGGGGTCCAAAGACCTCTCAAATTTGGCGGGCTTTATACAGGCCACGGTATAGATACCAAGAAACTTAGCGGGGCCGGTATGGCGACTAGGCGGCGGTGTCGGCGCGCGAGGCTTCTTAATACTCGAGGAGCCACTCTTGACCATCAATGAATTCTAGCGACGTGAAGGCTATGGCTTCGACTTGGGTCATGGTGTTCCCCCACGCTTGTCCCGACGTCGCAACTCCAGGGCCCCAGCATTCATATATTCCATAAGTCACCGTCCTGTGAATGAATCACCACAACCACCACCAGTTCATCAAACACCGAAACCTGCAGCCTGGAAGAATGTCGCAATAGTTAAGCAGGAAGAATTCGATGGGAGAGAGAGACAAAGGATTGTTGGGGGGCTGTTACTACTCACTGGTCTCGATTTTTGCCGTCGTGGTTCCAGTCCGTGTCCCACAGTTGCGGCAGAATGATGTCTTCTATATAGCATTCAGAGTACACGATACAAGAGTACTTCCCCATGGCTCTCCCCAGGTAGTTGCTCCCGGTACCTGTGATTTGGCATCCCACAAAGGAGAAGCCGCTGGTGTCGTCGGGATTGTCCCTGTCCTGGGCCGCAATAGACCCGGTGCTGGTCGCAATAGAATGAAAAGTGGATCCCTGGTTACATACTCACAGTGAATGCTCGATAAAGGGGGGCGGGTTAAACGTGAGATAGTGAACTGGATTGATGAGTTAGGAGTGGAGGTGGCGATGGAGTCTTGTACCGTGTACATGGAATGACCGTTGCCGAAGACGAAATCTATGGAGCCTTGGACATAGCAGTTTTTGAAGTAATGGCGTCCTGTGTCATCGCAAAGTGTGTCTTGACCGCCGTAGAAAGCGCAGTTGTGCCGGGTGGCGGCACCTCGGCAGTGTTCCACATATAATTGCAGCAGCTCTGTGAGAAGTGGGTGGGTGTTTATGTATGTGAAGGAGTGAGTGAGATGTGATTGGAAGTCCGAGTGGGCTGTGGTCAAGGAGGTAAAGAGTGCGAGAGGAAGAAGAGGTTTTTTCAATCACCCTGAAAGAAATGTCTCTGGCGATGAAGTTGGAGGCGAACACCATGACGGTAGCACTGTTGAATGATCCGAGCTGTTTGCCGTCAGGGCCAACGTCACTTGCAATGTTGTTCCAGGAGATTGAGGTTGTGGCTGCGCCTGCTCCTTGGAACGTAAGATATGGCAGCGTTCTCGGCACCTGTACCTTTTCCCTGTTGCAATTTATAAGAACATCGGAAGACAGCTGAGTATCAACCCACGTTATTGCAGCTCACCAAACATTGGCGCCGGCGTCGTAGAGGCTCGCCTCTTTCGAATTCTCGCAACCTTTACATTGGTGGTTTAGAGTTTAAATGTCTTACTCATAGTTGCCTGCATTAATTCGAATGACAACTCGAAGCGGGTTTTCTGCAGGAACCGCGTCCACAGCAGCTTGCACACTCAAGAAATCGCCTAATCCGTTAGCATCCACTACGATTTGGCGCAATGTCATGGAACGCCCAGATGAAGGTATATCAGTGGCGGGATTTGCTTGCAACAGATTCCGGTAAGTGAAACCCTGCTCTTGTGGTTCAATTCTCGCCTCGGTTTCCCTTTCTTGGAAGAATATGAAAATGCTAAATAGGACGGTCATTGCAAGCTTCCTACATCTCAGGTCGCCGCCGCCGCCGCCGCCGTGGGCAGGTGTTAGAATCTTCATGACTATCGCGTAGAGTCGATCAATGAAGTCAATATTGCTACAATTTGATCTCGATTACATCTACGACGTATTTTGGCCAGCTCCTCTACCCTATTCACAGCCAGCGCCAGTCATGTTAAACCTCTTCACCAGTTGCTACGCACACTCCAACTCCTTTCAATAATGTCTATGAAACTCATATCTGAACTAACATCCTTCTCGCACTCTCACATTGCGAGAATGGAGTGTATCCTCTACAAATCTGTCAGCATTGCTACACTATAACCTAGAAATCACGATTCGTGATTCAAAGTTGAAGGCACGAATCCCCACGAAGTTAGTACTCGCAAAGGAAAATTCCTCTTATTGATCTGCTTTTACGGGGCCACTTCAGAATCACATTGCAGCTGTGGTTACGGCAAGGTTTGTCTGCACCGGCTAGTGTAGTACATCTTATAACGGCCCCGTGTATGCAATGACATCCACCTAGCCATTGTTGCAGCATGTGATCACAGAGCTTTAGAATTGATGGCCACTGTTGCTGCAGTTTGAAGGAAACGGCATGAAGCAGAAGGGAGAGTTGGAAGACGCTCGTTGGGGTTTCAACGGCGGGCAGGGAGTGCCATCAATCAAAAGGACCGTTTGTCAGTTACGCAGCGTCCCTTCCCCAGCGCTATTCACAGATTCGTCCACATACAACCATCACCAGCACACACTTGTCCTGCTCTGAAGCTAACGTAGAGTTTGACAATCCATCCCTGCAGCTCAACGTGTGGTCGTTTAGAATCGTAAGCCTCGTTTTACAGCCACTGCGGTGGTGATTTTCCACTCGTAAGATAACGATTCATTGAGGAGGAGGAGATCCTGATTGCATCAGCAATTGACTTGAATCCTCAAACAGACCAATCTTGTCGTTCGTCCTCTTGGTTTAGATTGAGGTCCGCCACAGAATACCCGCCTTCACACAAAATGCCGAGTGTAGGGATAACAATGAGCATTGGGTAGTAATTGCTGTCTGCAAGAGTGACTATGAGGACGAAGGATAAACCTCCTTCCAGAAGAAGAGATAGTAGAAGAAGAGGAAGAAGATAGTCGACCAAAGTGGTGTGGAATAGAACCTCGTACGCTGTTGAAATGTGTTCCAGGGTGGCTTTCGAGGTCCACTGTAGTTTTCGTATGACAGCAACGTTGGGATTTAGAAGTCCGGGAGCGAGGCGAAAGTGTTACTGCAGGTTATTATGTTGATGATGGTAGTTGGGTGATGGATGATGGTAGTTCGGAATCGTAGCGTTAGAGGGGTTTGATAAAGGATTTGATGGCAGTTTCCAGCTGCTTGAGTTGCCATTGGCGTTTCAGACAGGAAGGGGGATGGTTTGTTCAATGGTACAGAAAAATTGAGCTGCGGGTGGAGAGGAGATCAGGATGTTCGAGGGACAAAGTGTTCGTGGAATTAGGGTTAGGGCGCTACGGATGTACTTGTCAGGCAGCTGAGAACTATGAACCTGGATACAAGCGGAGTGCTCTCATTGAGGCGGATTTCGAGAAACAGGGAGAGTAAAGCTATATTGCTGAAGCTTGTGACGATGAGAGACATGCGTGGAATGCCTGGCAAGCGCCGAAGAATGTGGTGAGTTGCCTCAGAGTTAGTTGGAGTTCGTTTAATAAGTCATTACACACCTTCAACTTGTTTTCTACTGCTTCTCTTGCACAGTGTGCCGAATTTTTCTGTTTCTGCTACAGCGTGAAGAATCGGAATGTCTGTTTCTAGTGCGGGTCACAATATCGAAAGTGCTGCGATAGTTTATGATCAAGCAGTGTGTTACAATGTAAGCTTAGGCCGGGTGCTTAAGCCTTGAGATCCTTTGGTTGGAGATCGCTGATAGTTTTGGTTTGCAGACACCTGAGTGATACTAGCAAATCACTCAGGAATCTCACTATCTGAATTATTGTTAACCTTAATCCACTTCTCCCATGGCAGCATATGTTGATTACAATTTTTGGTTTTTATGTGTTTTTTTGTGGCAAAAAAAACTTCAATTGATGTTGATGATATAACACCAGTGAAATTGTTGAAGCCATAAAACTGGATCCATTCTAGACGAATCAGGGACAGTTGCTCTTACGGCTCGTCCCCAAATCGAATGGTCACAAATCGCAAACGCTCTCAATCAAACTAAATGTTCATTTAACCTCTGAAAACACCAAAAGTTTTTTTTTTTTTTTTTTTTTTTTTTTTTTTCTATTTGCACCCATCCCAGGATTAGTAAGATGATTGTCTAGTGCAAATAGGCAGTACGAGTGAGGAGCAATATTTTCTCTTATTTCTCTAGATATGAGAGGTGTCTGGTATTTATGCTGTTTTGCAATGGACAGTATGGTCCAATTATTGCTTAGCTCCAGTCATACACTTGAATCATGTATATTGAAGACTTTCGGGTGGGGTCAAAGCTCCTAGCTCTTCTATTAATTTTCAGTGCATGCAGGCCCCTACTAATTTTGGAACCGAATTCTGTTTAAGTGTGATAGAGGAGTTCTCAACTTCTCACAAGGATCCTGTCTTGTAGGTTCTTGTTCTGCTATGTTTCATTGTATGAGGTGTGGCGAGTCGTGCGGGGGGCACGGTCGGTGGGCTGGACTTGTAGTGCGATGTGTGCGTGCGGTGCATCGGGGGTGGTGGATTAGGAAGTCGTCCGCATCCATTATAGACTAGATGGTTAGGAGGGTTAAGAAGAGCGAGAGCAAAGGAGCTGCGGAGGTAGAGTGGAAGCGATGGCGGCGACACAATTTCGAATAGGTTTGGTTTAGCAGGGCTCTAATCTTCGCTTAATGTAGTATTAGCAACTGGTTACGAATATCTAGTTTACAGAACTAGGGCTTGAGTACACCCTTGCCTCATACAACCAAAGTGCAATGACCATTTTTGCATGAACATGAGGCACTAAAGTCAATAGCCAAGGGTTTTAGGTGCTCTTGCTCCTTCATAGGAAGAGGCTTTTTGGAAATTACTTTCACCTCCCTAGAAAGGATACAACAGGCCCTCCGATCGACCCATAGATTTGAGGGAAGAGAGATTCCTTTTACCATATGGAACCCACACTTTTTGGCAACCAATCCAAAATCCTACAAATTCCTGAACTACATGGTGTGGGTTCAGTTCCTAGAATTAAGCCAATATCTTAGACATGAATAGTGCCTAAAGTTTATGGTATCTAGGCACGACAAAGTATTGTTTATCAAGGAAGAGTCCTTCTATGCATGTAAGATTGCAAGCCTTAGGATTAAGATAATTATCAATGACATTTTCAAGGTGCTAGACATGATTGATCTTCTAGGTCCAATCCAAATACTATATTCAACTACAAAGTTATTGTCCCTAGACATCCCAATTAATGCATGAAGTACAAAGGCATAGGCCACATATCCATAGAATGCAAAAGGCCCTACTTTCAACAAACAATACAAAGGAGCACAGGATAGTGACAACAATTCAAACCACCACAAAGTCAACTAATACATGGCCAATCTGGACATTAATAAGTCCATCAATAAGTACAAGGATGGAATAATCGAGCATATAATCCTCATCACACTCCATCAAAATATAAATCTTCTCTCCTTCTTCTAGTAATAGAATAACTATTATAATTTAACTATATAACTTAATTACTCCACCACGTGGCCACTCATGAAACAAGCCAAGTAAGAGGCTGGAGACAATCTCCTCCATGCTACTATTTTCTAAGCTAAAGTCAATAATTAGACAAGATGGAGCCTTACCACCATAAGAACATATAGTATACTATGCTATACTATCAATAACACTATTCTAGCTATAGAAGAAACACCATGCACACCAAACCATACAAAGAGCAAGGAGTAGTCTTCAATCACTATATTGGCCAATGAAACATCATCTCTTTATTGATTACTTTCACAAAATAAAGTCTTTCTAGAAATAGCACAACCAATAGCAGAACAAGCAATAATCAAGGACTCTACCACTTTGTCAAATAACATGTCAAATTTTCAATTCATATGGTAGAAGAGATTAGCGAGGAACATACAAAATCAACCAAAAAGCCTTGGGCTAAGCTCCACAAATCCAAATAGTAACAAGAAAGGGCATTGTACTTTAATGATATTAGACTCTTTTTTACATGTGATTTTCTTAATACTAGCCATCAATGTCCAAACTTATAAATGCAAAGTATTCTTGATATTACTCAATATGGAAAGTCCATATTATTATAACATGCTAGCATAGCTTAGCATGATTAATAGACAATCTATGGCATACCACTAGGTTACCATATTCAAAGAAACAAATTGCATGGTCATTCAAGCAAGGCCCAAATACTCCTTTTCAATGAAATAGTAGAAGCCTTCCTTGAGGTTATTGTGAACACCTACAACAACAAGAATCCCTTTTAGAGATGGAAAGACATAGTATGGGATTACAAATAGAAACAAGGTAAAGACAAAATTGTCCACTATATTTGCATAGTATTTATATAAGCCCCCTCCTCTCTCCTCCCATCCTCTCTTAGACATCAACCTTTAGAAATGAGATAGACATCTTTAGATTTGGCTAGTCCCAACTTCTTACAACTTTATTTCTACGGAGTTCCTAGAAACAATCCATCTTCTTTCAATCTAAGCAGCTTAATCCATATATGAACTACTAGACACAAGAGAATTTGGCGGCGATCCTTCATCAAAGAGACTTAAATAGAAGAAGCCAAATCCACTCTCTTTACAAATAGAACAAGTCCTAAGTTGCAAAACTAATAGCCTAGAAGAAGAAGAATACAAAGCTCTTACTACCATATCATGTATCTAACAAGAATGATTATATACTACATTATATTGGCTTTAATGAATATGCAATTTTTCAGACACAATATTCACAAGTTAAGAAAAAGTACCAAGATTAGGAACTTCTTTAAAAAAATAGATTCACAACTTGAAATTATTCTTCTATAGAAACATTACTATAGCATAAATGAATGCTTGTATTGAATCAAACATTACTATAGGATAGATGAATGCTTGTATAGAAATAAGATATACGTCCCCATGATATTGAGCCTTCATATATATATATATATATATATATATATTATCTTTGAAATATATATATTGAGCCTTGGTTTCTAGAAGCCACAACCTATACAACAAGTATACATGACAAAACTCATCAAGTTCTGCTCTTTCTTCCTATTCTACATTCAATTTTTTTCTTTCATACACCATCTTATTCTTCTTTAGTCTCTCCTTCATTTCCAATTCCTTTATAAACAAGCCTCAATTCTTTCATTACTTTACTTTATTAAAGCCAAGTGCTCTATCATTACGGCAATTTTTTGTCATGATAACTCCACAAACACATTGGCTATTATATGGCATTGCTTTAGAGATTTTTTTTGGACTTTAAAACAAGTTTTTGAGTCTTTTTTTTTTTTTTTTTTTTTTTTTTTTTTTCGGTGAAAATGGCAGTGTTGCCAAGCAATGAATGTCTTATAAAGGATAATATTAGCAACAAGAATAGAAACCAAAGAAAAATAGAAGAAAATAAGAAATTATGCTCTTTCTAAGACACCTTCTTTGGTTCATTAAGTTTGTCTTATGGTCAAGCCTTCCAAATATCCTTGGGTAGCAATTTCTCAAGAAGTAAATTCAAATTGAGCAACAAAAATGGTGAATTGGTCATTGATTTTGTTGTGGAGTCCTAAAATGGCATTGACAAAATTGTATTTGTTATTGCAATAGAGTCCGTGTTGCAAAGAAAAATCACATTTGGTCTTGCATTGTACAAAACATGCATCCTTTCAAAGAATGAACATGTGTCCTCCAACTTCATGGCCACTATGTGTCTACCCTACTTTTGATCCTTCTTATTAAACCAATGTTGGTACTAATTGACCAATCATATGCAGCCATAAAAAAATTCTTCGAAAGTACATAGTCAACCTAGCATGTTGGCCACAAAGAGGTTGAACTTGTCCTTTGATGCCTTGTTCACTTAGACAACCAATTCCAACAAAGCTCTAATCTTGATTGTTTGCTTTGTGCATATCTCTATCTTGTTGGAATTGTGTACCTTTTAGAAATTTGTTAGGTCTTCCAATGAGCATACAATTGTAGCATATTTATTTATCCCAAATGACCTCTACCACTATCTATAGTGCTTGGGAACTTCTTTGGAGGCATAAAGAATAGAAAAAATGTTTGAAAATAATGGATGTAGAATATTAAGTAGACATATTAGATCAACTTGATATCACTTAATATGTTACCAAAATATCAAGGGATAATAAAGTTTGAATGGTGGTATTATGAATTTGATATTTCAAGTGATCTTGGAAATATTAAGTGTTGAATCCTAGTTATTTGATATTGCAAAAGTGTTATGTTTGAAACCCCCTATTATTCTTACCTAAACCCACTTTAAAGTCTCATTCCATCCCAACCATTAATGAACTCCACAAAATATAGAGTGACAAGCTCAGTTAAGAGATTGTCCATTTCTTGCATTATGCTTTTATCTACTTGAGGAATTATGGCTAAAAAAGCCAAAAAAAAAATACAAAAACTAAACAAAACAAAAAGAAAAACACCTTGTTTGTACACTGAAGTCTTCACAAGCATAAACTTCGATGATGCCTGCTCTTATTACTTGATGCACCTTTTTATGAATAGACTACGTTACCAAACTCAGGGATACATGGCTGGACTCACTTTGTTATACGACAGGCAGCATATCCATGAATCCACAACTCCCTTCTCCAACACCTGAGTTGACGAGCAGTTTTTTAACCTCGGCACAAGTAATTCTCCTTTTTGCAGCTAGTGGAGTTTCTTCGTTGCAGATATTTCGACAAAATCAGACATTTGCTGCAGACTCAGCTTGCACTTTTTGTTATGCACCAAGATCAAAATTCCTAGACCGGTGCAAGACTTATTAGTCACCAACATCGGTGGTGTGCGTCTAGAATAAGTTGCTGGTTAAGACAGTCTGCGACAACAAGGATGCTATAGGTTTGACGCTATTACATTGTATCGAAGCTTAATGGACAAGTACAGATGAGAAAGATTGCGTTCTCGGAATGGTTGATCTGTAATTCTTAGACTCGAAGACAAGAACCATGATGAAAATATACGCCGACAACAGGTTATCAACACGCTATGATAAATGAGGCCGGGAGCTATAGCAAGAGTACACTTAAAGTTCGGAATGCTGCTCAAGTGCAATGATTTACTCATATCGACTGAAATACTGACATGGTTAGTCATTTACTTCCACCTCCCACCGTATTCCATTAATGTTCCCGGTTCTAGAAGGAGAAAGCCCAAGGGTCAATTAATATTTAAACAGGATTATGGGACGACTAAATCTTGGCATCTTGGCATCTCCACTCAATTTGTCTGATACTGTACACTGTAACCTATGGTCTTCTTTTCTCAAAGTGCCTTCTTAATCCAGATGTGCATCGGAATGACCAATGTCAGAATCAGTCAAGTTTAGTTCTGCCATTTGCTCCTCAACAGGAACTATACCTATCTCTGATATGAACCTGAACATTCACACTTCAAATACCTCATTATAACATAACTCTTGGCAAGTTCAGGTACAGATCCTCGTGAAGATATAAACAGGAAGATCTAGAGAAAAACAATTCCACATTAGATAAAGTTATTAGACTAGAAATATTCACTTTAAACATCCAGACTCCATATTTGAGTGCATCATCCTCAACAAGGCGATGTTTGAGTAATAATAAACGCCTAGTATCCTTCTCTGCTGGATTTAAGAAGACCAAGACCAAATTATACGAGTATTGACATGTTACGCAAAGAAGAGACATCTTACCAATTAAGGAGGAGAAAGAGCGTGATGGCGACCAGTATGAGCACAAACACATGTAATAACGGTCCAAAACCTGAAATGTTGCTCGCTACCGCAAGCATGCACAAGAGAGATGCACAGAGGGACATCAAGACTATCCGCAAAAACGTCCATGTCGGTGCCTGAATGATACAGCCCTCCCAAAACCCAAATTACACTTCGAAATTCTCTACACATGTAATACATTACATGCATTGGATCAATACTTGCACATAGATGCGCTTGAAGCAGTCTGGTGACCTCCATGAATACACTCTCTTACCCCTAGCTGGGGTTTTCATGGCAGTTATGTGTTCATATATAAAAATGTGACAATATATTTTGCTGCATACCCTAATTCTACTTTCCGAAATGAGGAAAACTGCGACGCCATTCTTGTCTCTCACAATACATCCAAAAACCCCCTAAAGAAGGCTTAAATCCGATGCTTTGAGTACACAGTTTCTTGCCGAGAGAATTAGATTATCAGCTGATTGCCCTTAAATAGTAAAGATTTCATTTAATCAAGGAAAGAAGATTCACTCAAGGCAGATATGGGTGAAAACAACCATTCCAGTGACAGAAAAATTAGCTTCTAATCCTGATTGGATTCATCCAACATCTAAGTTCAAATTCTTACATTAACACCTTTCGCCAAAGCTCCCAGCAGCACAGCTTCACCTGCACCTGCCTTGGTCGGAGGCTCCTTCTCCATTCCCCTCTCCACCAAACTCTCGGGACCCCCTGACATCACCTCCAGCAACCTTTCCCTCACCTCACTCCTACTGAACGAATTCCAAGTTATAGTACCAAGTCTCTGTGACGAATAGGACCTAGCATTCACAAATTGATTGATCACGCAACTCTCCTGGTTCGTCTCACGAAAACACAAATCGAAGAATCCACGCAATGAATCTCTAAATCCCTAGTGATCAAACCCCACAAAAGTTGTCCTAACTCCTAGCCCTAGAACGAGACACACTCAAAGAGGACTGATACAAAGCAACTACCAAACATCGATATTCCCAATCCAGGACCCATAAACCTCTGTAGAGTTCAGCTGCATGCCGCTAAGAATCACAACAGATCAACAAGTGCATGAATAAGATATTCACTCCAATCCTCGCAAACTCGCAGCCCTATGTCGTCCTCCAACTCCAAATCTGAACTTCATCAAACAAATGACAACTTAAAACAGTATCACTAATTTTGAATCACAGAATTCATTAGCCCTAAGTTTCACAAACAGTTCTGTTGTATTTGAAAAACCCCATTCTGTCTTGTGCATTCGTATCAAGCCAAGGTTCCTATTGCAACAAAGCAGGCCAAAAACGCGACCGTGGGGCCAAATAACCTGCCTCCAACTCTACAATTAAAATGCAAACCAGAACTGAACAAGAAATCGCCAACCTTGCAGTGTCTGATGACCAGAAGTGAATCGGGATGATTCCTTCAACATGTGTATCCTCTCGTGGAAGTTCCGAGGTTCATGTCCCAACTGGCAACCTCCTCCTTCAAAAAAAAAGTTAAACAGTAAAAGGTAACTTTAGTGAAAAGTGGTGTGATTCTTTTCGTCCGATTGGTGTGATACTTCCAACGGCCACCCTGAGTACTCCTTGGCCTCGTGTGTATTTCTTCAGAGAAACTCGAAATGAAATTCACTATTCTAGAAGAGGGAAATCTGAAGCTTCGTCTTGAACATACTTGACACGTGTTTGCGATTCGATAGGACCGTCGAATGTTTTACATTTCTAATGTGCATTTAGGGTCTTCGAGCATCGCGTCGCTCAGTCAAGCAAACATGGGCCTCTGGGTCGCCCTCTCCTGAAAGATTTGGAGGGTGAAATGGTCTACTATTTTAGGAGAGAAAGACGCTAAGGCCTCTGTCTTATAGACGACATGCAACGCTTCAGTGATAGCCGTTGTGCTCTTGCAGCTGGTGGATCGTGAGCACGTCTTTAGTTGATGATTGAACTTTCACGGTGAAACCACTGGATGCAAGTTCCTGCGCGTGGACTCATGTCTTAACTTTTCTGAGCTTGCCCTTCGAATCTGTAGACGAGATTCAAGACAAGGAACTAAGCGTTGGTTTTGTGCAACGCCATTTAAGCTCAAACATATGTTGCTGAGACTGAGTGGGACATTGAAGGCTGGAATTTGCTGCATGTCATAAAAGTGGGTACACTGGCATGAAGTCCAGGCAAGAAATATTCAGCCCATGTTCTAATTTTGTTGTTAACATTTGCAACATATCTAACATTGAGCTGTCCAGAGGGAAATTCTAAGAGGATGATGGTTCACACGACATCTGGTCATCAGGTTTGCTATAGACCTGACGAGCAGATCGAGAAAAGCAAGCCCACGTAGTTATCCTAGACGACTTCTGCTGAACCTTTGCGGCTTGTGCGAATTCAATTGTATCAGGACGAGAAAACTCAAAAAACAATATCATCACCTTGTTTGCATCCTTCAACTGGCGACTGTGGAGTGAAGTTGAATATTGTAAATGTAGCGCTGTATTATCATCCCCAGGCAACCACTTCAAGATCCTTGAGCCCGTCTCCCCTGAAAAATTAAGCGCTCAAGCTCTTAACATTTTCAGGAGAGAAAGACCCAAAGACCCTAATGTGGCTGACACAATAAGCTCCTGCTGAAGCAGCTGCGCACGGGACGAGTTACTCACAGCTGCCTCGACAACATGGCCACAACTAGAGTCCGTCATGCACGGTGCACTTCGATATGAGTCGTCCTGCGACATGGGTCGTATTTCACTGCATTGCGTGGACACACTTCTGCCGCGTACTGGAGATTGAACGTACCTGACCGTTCAACGAGAGTCAATCTTGACGAGAACAATATGTTGACTCCAACAATGACTTGCCGGTGTATATACCCGCTACCTGCTGATGATTGTAGATTTTCCTTTACATTAGAGTTTATATTTACAATTCCTTTCAAGTTCGGCGTTGTCTCAATTTTAGTAAAGTTGGGAATTTGAAGTGTTGAAGACACTGATTTACTGCCACTGCCATGAGGCTGGGTGATAGTTACAGGATCTCAGACTCCAGCAAAGTCTGACCAATATTAATAAATATGGAATGGAAGAATAACGCCGGAAATTTGGTGGATTACTCCGTGATCCGTATGATGCAAGAGGTATATTTGGTGGATTGTCAGCAGTCAAAGTCTATACAGTGCTCTCGTCTGGTCAAAGATAATACTCCCGTTTCCCCATTAGCGCCGCAGGATATGAAGCGTGTAGCGGGGGCAGGGCGGCACTTGCAAGGTACTCAGACACTCTCCAGCTCAGAGTTACTTTCGTTGACATTGCACTCTCAAATTATACTTTTTCTTGAATTATATTTTCATGTTTTCGTCCAGTAACAGCCGTAGCATATCGTGTTCAACTTCTTGGTTTGATATTACAAATCCCTGCGTCAATAGTTAATTGGTTGTGAACGTTTTGTCAGACTCTTCGAGGTATTTGAAAATATCGCTCGGGGGAATGGGATCTTTTTAAGGGCACATATACCCAAATTCGAGCTTCTTCTAGATGCTTTAGAGAACCGCACCAATTTTTAATTAGCTGAGCTTGAGGTGCTGGTATTCTGCCATTTGCATAAAATTTCTTTAGACTTCTGGCAGCAGCGTCTTTTGTTGGCGATTCTTCTCACCCTCACTTTTTGCAATTGCGCGCTTCACTCGGATTCTACTGCCTCTTCTTCTCGTCAATGGGCAGCTATCAAACATGCTGTATGTGGAGATTCAGATCTTAACTACTGACACCAGGATATCGGCAGGATTTACGTAGTATGCTTAATTCAATTACGGTTGAGGTTCGACTGGCAGCAAGGCTGTCCGTCTTCCCAGTGATTGATAAAGCGCTCTATGCAACAAACTCGAATTATGCTGTTGGTATATGAATGGTTTCATGGTTTCCTTAAGTAGGACCACCGGGTGTCATAAGACGAGCTGAGGTTTAGGAACTGTGCTAGTTAATTGAAGTTAGTGTTGTACTTTTGGTGGTTTCGCAGGTAGGGGCCAGCAAATGTAGGTTTCAAACTGGTTTACAACAAAGAAGGGCGTTAAGTTGTCCTAGCTCATCTGCTACTATCTTTATAGTAAAGACACTGGCGTTAAGTTCGAGGCAATTCAATCGACACTCCTGACAGTTGAAGCAACTAGCCACGACTCTCCCACGCAGTAACGGTAAGTTAACACATGCGAACACATAGCAATATGCACTTGAGTGTAATGATTCTACGCAGTCGCTAGCAACTCGTTGAAGCGCACGTTGCTATTAGTGGTAAAAGTATAATCACCCGCATGGTAGATCCCAAGAATCGTGAAAACGATTCGTTCGTTCTATTTCGGTACACAACACTGTTCAACGTCAGCCTCTTCAGCTGCTTGAGGGTCACCTAGACCTGCCTCCCCACAACTTACATCCCGAGTAAACTGGGCAGCGTCTCTAAGCGTAATGGACTTCGAGACCACCTCCCACCTGCAAACTTCAATTGACACAATCTAAAGCAACATTGTTTAGACCAGATCTTGCTCAGTTCATCAGTGCGCAATGCCCGACGTATTCCTATGACTGGTGTGAACTGCTGGTCATTCATGATAGTCGTGGACACTTTTTTATTAATGCACGACGAGCTTCTGTCAGTCGCACGCTGGGCAAACGACCGAACTTCAAAGGTTGTGCTCTACCTTGAATCGTCTGCAACGCGTAAAGGCAATAAAATTACACTTGCTGTGAGCACATGCAGATCGTTCCACTGACATCGAGTGCCAGGATCAAGCCGCAACTATCGAACCTTCCAACTGATCCAAATTTGGGAATCACTGCCGCGCCTTTCTCCGTTAATTAATGGCAATCAGCCGCTACACAATCCCGAGTGAGGTTCCATCATCCACGCCGATTGAGGAGTCTGCCCCTTGTCAATTGCTCATACACATAGTGAGTGGAAGAAGTATGGTCACCATATATTAATACGTAGACAATTCAATTCTAACATTCAATTTTTTTAACTTCAGCTTTCTAACAACAATTTAATTTTTGAAAATTCTTCTTGTGATATTTCTTTAAATTTTGCAAATGTAATATTTTTATTTTTTTCTATATTTTTTATCTTTTTTCTTGTCATCTCATATTTAAAATTAAAGTAATTTTTTAGATCCATTATTTTTATAAATAAATATCAAGGACATGAATTAAACACAAATAAAATCTCAGTACATTCTTGTATCATTTTTTAAAAGTAGATATTCATTCAAAAATAATATTGAAACTAGAATAGCTATTGTCAAAGATAAAAGGACTAGAGACTTTGAAACAAGACTAAAAATAAGAAAGACATTGACAAGAGTGAAGAAGACTTCACTCTTGCCTCCATACATACTATCTAATTAGGAGCTATATAGCAATATTTTATAGGACCTCTAATACATGTCCAATCTCTAAGACACATGTCTAACTTGTTAGATGAGTTTCTTACATGTGTGCCACAATACCAACTTGTACCACAAGCCACCAACATGTGCAACACATGGCTAACTTATTGGATAAGTTGTCAATGTATTAATCAACTACAAACACATCTAAAGTCAAATTGACATCAATGAAGTTTCTAAGAGGCTATACCACAAGATATCAAATCTACATATATTTTATTTTTTACTTAATACTTCTTATCAAGATTAATATGTAGTTCTATAATAATAAATGCTACAAAATATGGACTATATGACCTTGAAGTACCAAAATCTTATATAAGTTGGTTGTATAAAAAAATTGTTGATGCCAAAATAAAGATCCACAAAGCCACAAATATCTTAGGTTGGTTTTTATCTTATTAAGTATAAAAATGTCTTACTTTTAGTTGAATTCAATTTTAAATTATTTCCTAAATTTATATATAATTATTTATGAATTTTATAGAAAATATAATTTATAATCTAAAGATAAGTTTGAACTTATTTTTTCTCTTTATACTATGATAAATACTCTTTTATGCCATGTAAGTTGTAGAAATACGGATTAAATTTTGATTATAGAAAAAATCTAAAAATACATCAAAAAATCAAAAAATACATCAATTTCTTTAAACCAAAATTTTAATCTATTATTTGGTTCTAAAGCTACATAAGGATTAGAAGTAGTTGTGTCAAATCTAATAACAAAAACAAAGAAAACCATATTAATGATTTATATGTGCTTAATTATTTTTTATTAATTCAACTTAGTGATGTAATATCATATCAAAGATAATTAATTAAATTCCAAAATAAGAATATAATATCCAAAATTAACAAAGAAAAGAGATATAAATTTTATAATAGATAATGAATAAACATAAAAATTAAAACATACAATTTTTGAAATTTCAAATTTTAGTTGTAAGTAGAGATAAGAATTAGATTATTTATTAATATATGAAAAAAATTAGAATAATATAACACTACATGAAAGATGAAGAAATAATACATAATTTACAATAAACTTGTGGAATTGGAATACAAGTAGAAATATCTAGATTGAATAGATAATGTTTCACTTACTAAGTTTTAATATAGGTCATGATTTCAAAATAACATTTTAAATCGTAAAAAAATAATTTATTGATATAGAATATAAAATTATTCATTTCTTATATATAAAGAGACAACATAGAATGAAACAATAATGATATCTTAACTAATAATTCAAGGATTTTTTTAAATAAAAAAAATTAATAGTTGACTAGATAGAAAAAAATATAACAATCAATGTCTACTACAAAGATGTTAAGTTTTTAACAAACACATGATATAGAATAATGACTTAATAATAAAAAAATCAAAAAGATAAGCTACAAAAGTCCAATGTGTAAATAAATTGACACATCAAAAGAAATATTAATAATTAAAAACTATTTATTAAAAAAATTAATAATATAATATAGTTCAAATATATAAATATTATAATGCAGTAAGAAAAGAAAAAAAGAAAAGAAAAGAAAACTTATTTTAAGCCAAAATATGATAGATTAGAATCATATATATATATATATATATATATATATATATATATATCACAAATAAAAAAACATCTATTTAATATTATTACTATAGTATCAATTGAAAGCATTGTAGATGGCAAAGTTGAAATTTTATAATAATATTAGCTATCAAAGTTGATAGAAATTGACAATATTTATATAAAAAAAGAAAAAAATTAAAATATTTTTGATTTATAAAAGAAAAATTATAATAAAATTCAATTTTTAATTACAAAAAAAAATCATGACAAAACCAAGTATAATTAAATAAATTATTTTAGTTAATAATTTTAACCTAAAATTCAAAGAACCACCAACATATTCAAAAATTGGCACAATAAATAATATTAAATTTATATTAATAATATTATATTCAAATAAAATATATACAATAAGCCTTTGTACTATTCAATTGACATTAATGGTATTTGTAAATTAAATGTTATAGATATACATATTTACTTCAATAATTGCCT